GAACTTACGTATATTTGAATTGATACCTATTTTATATATACATCTAAGAGAAGTAAGAAAAAAAGGTCTAACGACTCCTTTTATTTAATTCCAGTTTAAATTAATAGCTGGAGAGGAAATGAAATAAAACACACTAACTGGGACACTATTTTTTGTTTTTTATTTATTAAATTATATAAATTATTTTCGGTTACAGATCACATATCAACTCGTAAATAATTCACAAAAGTAAAATATAAAAAAATTAAAAGTAGTCAAAATGTATTTTAGAAAGAAAGTGTGATGCTTTGAAGGTATATCAATTTGTTACCCTCGGGAAGGAACTTATTAGCGTCACCTCTTCCGGCATTCATTTAATAATTTGTATTCAATCAAGGCGATCCTTCATCCAGCTCATTTTCAGCATCCTCTCATTGTTATTGGCCATGGTTGTTTTAACCAAAGCTATTGAAGATAATTTCATTAATGATTTGTTAGAAATTGTTGATCGAGATAAACATATATTTAATTTAATCGTAATCATTTTTTAATCTTTTAACCTTTCTCAAACTAAAAATCATATTAATTTTATTTCATTTGCTTGTTGATTTTTTTATTCCCATAATTGATCATTTTATGGCCTAACCATTAGCTAAAAGATTTTTGTGCATTTTTTTATTTTTATTTAGATTGTTCCTTCCTGACATGAACAATAATAAATTTAAATTACATGTCAAATTTTCCGACACTTCCTTTTCATAAATTTAGAATAAATATTTTTTCTCACACATTTTGACATATACAAGACCATACACTTTATTTATTAAAACGTTAATTATACCGTGAGAAGCATTCGAGTCAATTTATATTGAACATCCTATAAAATTTGGTTACATTGCGATAAAAATAAATAATAACAGTCTGGATTTGGATTAATTTAAGGATCCCTGTTTTATGCATACATGTTTGTTATGCCGTATGGTATATACAACGCGCCGGTCGAGTACTAAAATAGGTTTAACCCAGGTCATGACATAAACATGCATTTAAACGAAATTCATCCTAACAGAGTGTACAATAAAGAAATAATAATTGTTCGTTTAATAATAATAAATTAATATGGTTAATATATTCCTTGGTATTTTTTTAAAATATTTAATTGCAGTCGGGAATTCTAAAATTTATTTTTTTATCATTTCACTGGGAAATACAATTTATTTATTACTATCACATTTCTTAATTCAAACTTTTTTTGGTAATAATACAAATTCAAAAGAGAACTATTTCCATATTATATTTTTTATTCTGTACCTCAATTATATTTTAAGTTCCTGTTAATTGTTTTTATTTTAAGCCCAACACTATTCCATAGCTGCCTGACAATCAGTGTAAATGAAGCTAAGATTATTATTTTTTTTTTTATTTAATCTTACAGCTTACTATATTTTGTCATCATTGTAGAGCCGGTGTATCTTAAGACTGTTAAATTATAGATCTTATAAATATTTTTATGTACGTTACGTAAATAAAAGTGAATCCATTATATCAATACCAATTGCATTCTGTTTCCGTAAAAAATAATAACAACTCATCTAAAAATATTTTCAGTTAATGGATGATTCGTACAATTAAATATGAAGAAATTTGATCTAAACGAGAATTAAATTTTATAAGTATATAATATAATAAGTATAAATAATATTCAATGCTTATTGCAGTTTGAAATTATTAAATGTTAGAAAAATATTTTACAAGTTAAATCCTTTGCTTACACTCCCACAACTCTGCATCATATTAAACCTACTTATCTATAAAAGTATTCTTCGTCTTTTTCTTCTCTACTCTAGTTATCACCGAAAACCGTATAAAATAAAGAATGGCATTGACAAGATAAATAATATAATTATTTATTTTCTAAGACTGTTTTTTACAATCCGCATATATATTTAATTATTGCCAGCGGGATAAGGGATCATTAAAATAGGACTTTTATTCTAATAGAACTTACCTTATGAATATTTGATATAATTTTTATAATTAACTAATATATTAAATACGATCTGTAGTTTGCTTAATTAATTCATTAGATTTAATCCTATTAAAGGAATCGTACCAGTTTTGTTCATATTCACCGTTTGTAGCCCTTTGATGATATTTTATATTCACCTGGCTGGCACGTATGAAATATATCAGCGTACAAAAATATCAATTTAATTAATTAATGGCTTTTGAGTGAGAGAGGCCCTGTTTCAATTTTTGTTTTAATCTTTATCCGATTTTTTTCTGCTTTGTAGGCCCCGATTTACATTTTCCTCTTTAATCACCTATACATTTTAACGAAATAAAATTTAACGCCTTCCATCCATTTGTTTTATTTTCATCAACCTTCTGATTTGTTTATTGCAATGTTTTAAATTTAAATCCATCTGCTAATCGAATTTTCAATGATCTGCTAATTTAATGATCAGAATTTCTTAATAAAATAAATAATTATTATTAATACTTTATTTTATATTGGAAACAATAAAACGTAAATCTATAAAAAATATTAGATACATTTTGTATATTGTTTCATATATTTTTATATTTATTGATAATAAAGATAATATGAATATATAAAAAAAATGATATAATTTATGGTGACGTCAGATTTTTTCGGTATTCATAGAGAAAAAAAAATGTAAACTCACTGAGATACTCCACTTCCAATAATTTATAACTGATATTAATTAAAATTTCATTATGACCAAAATAGCTAAGTTTGAATAATTAGTTTATAAATGCTTATATTATTTTTCTTTTCTTTTTTCTTTTAGGCTTTAAATATTTATTTACACCTGTTAACTTTATGTCGAAAATAAACATGTCAGGCATGGAGAAGGACAGTTCTCAGTAGTCCCTCTTTCCTAACTTGTTTCAGTTACATAGGTTGTTATAGGGAGATCTCACATCCAATGCCTTTTTAGCCACCTATTCTTATTCAAGGTTTGTCAGCTGTTGACATGTCTCTTATTAATCTGTTGTCCCGTTTAAATTTGTAAAAAATCGTTGACATAGGGTCGTTGTATGTTGGTCAGCTGTTGGAAGGTGGATGTCAGTATGTAGAGTATTGATGTTCACTTACCGAGCTGTTTTTGACGAAAAGCTCATGAGTAAGTGAACAAGATTTGAAGTTTTTGTAGGTGGATCTTTTTAGCGATATCTGTCATCTATATGTCCATATGGGTTTAAGTAAGTATGTATATGTACTCAGTTTCTGTCTCAGTTTCAGTTTTGATTATTTAGAAAAAAAGAGGTTAAAGTAGTTTGTTAAGTAATTTTATTTTTACATGCGGGTCCAATATCATCCTTCTGTCGAAGTTGAGTCCAAGATAAAGTACCGTGTCTGAGAATTTTGTTGTCAATATAAACTGGAGGGCAGGTGTTTTTTTCGTAGAGTAAATGTTTTATCTTTGAATTTGTCATGATTTTGTCTAATTTTCCATAATTTTAACCAACCTTGTAGTTTAAGTAAGTTATGTTAAGTTAGTGTGGCCTGTGTAGGATCTTGAGGTTTTGTGAGAATTGTTGAGTCGTCTACATAAATAGCAGCCAAAGCGTCATAACTAACAGATAATTGGTAAGTGTAGACGATGTAAAGTAGAGGGACCAGTATTCAACCTTGTAATACTCTTACCAAGATGGAAGGAATTTCCGATCCCTCCCGAAATGAGAAAAATCTGTCGAAGAAGAAAGATTGAAGGAAACGTTATTATCGTTGTAGTCTTAAAATTAAAAAGAAAACCAATGTGCCAAACTATCAAACCGTATCAGAATCTAATAAATTATTAAATTAGAAAATATATTAATTTTTATTGTTATTACGTTGGGTTTTTTTTACATTAAATATTATAAGTTTATTGAAGGAAGTTAGTCGACTGTTCTACATATCATGGGTGATAAGTATTCAGGACGCAGTCATTATAAGATTTTTATTAGTGCCGGCGTTTCAACCCAAACATGTGGGTCATTCTACAAACAGCTCTCACACTTACCTACCAAATGTGTCAGTACTTGAATACCTTCAATGTTCGAAACACGGTTAGTAAAAGAAAATATTACAGTTTTTATAAATGAATTATATACATTATTTTAATTTGTATAACTGTCTACATATATCATTTGTAATATTTGTATTGTAATATTAGTTAAGATTCATGTATCATCAATCACTATATTTTTTCATTATGAACCATCATTGGTCGTATAATACTATATCTCTGATTGTTTTAAAAATTTTCAGTCCTGATGATGACCCACATATTTGAGTTGAAACGTCGGACCCAATAAAAACCTAATAATGACTGCTTCCTGAATATTTATCACCTATATTATAAGTTTAAGTTGTTTTCAATATTGATTTTAATCATCAAATATCAAACGTATCCAATCCATCCAGTCCAAAGTCCTTCGAACAATAGTCAAAGCTCTATATTATGTCACGAATAAGACCTTGCACCATGACCTTATCATCCCATATGCCCATGACATCATCCCATCCAGATCCTCCAACTTTCACTAGAACCTTATTCATCATCCCAATCCTTTAGCGCAATCCCTATCCAGCTCCGAGCATCCATACCATCACCCTCGAAGGTTGAAACGGCAGTGGCCTCGACATATCTTGTAAATATGCCTTTGGAGTCCTGGCAATGGCCAGCTTCTCCACTCATGTCCTGAGCGTATGTGGCTCTAGTTCCCTCTTTCAGTCACCACTGGCTTCTAATACTAGTGATGCGGCTGCAAAAGTGGCACTGGGATCTCCTGGCGTCTCGTTTTTTTTTTGTCTTTGTCTTTTCCTTCCACCAAATGAGAACTTTTAGCCCTAATACTTATAGTCCTCCAACAGTGGCTGATTGTATTATTATTCAATATATAATAATATATATATATATATATATATATATATATATATATATATATTGATTTATTACTAGTCGTCCAGTAAAAATCTAGAGTTGAGAAGGCTTACCTAAATGACTTTAAAGGCTGGATGTTGAAGTCCTCTGTATCAAGGCTTCCCTTCCTGTTATCAGTAGATGCCCACTTATCGTCCCTGTGAAGGCCCATATTGATCCCCCTCGTCCCGATAAGTCACCAGGAACCGGCGGAGGTAGTCTGATAATCCGAAACCTGGGAAGTGATCGGTGTCGCCTACCGATACCTGTCTTCAAGGAGCTATCTAATGATGTAACATCATGGTATTGGCCACGTGTGCACACGTGTCGTGTGAGTCTACTAACCTGAACAACCATGTTTCGAGTTGGTTAATAATAAATCATTTGTATATGTAAAATAAAATTTATTATTATTTAAAAATCAATGATTTCAACTTCAGTTACATGCTGAAACGGATTCTTAAACGAACAGGAATTCGTGAGTGGTGTAGGCCAAAGACGTGGTTTAGAGAAGGAAATTGTAGATTATGAATATCAATTTCTTTAATTACAGTTCATACCTTAAAGTGTGAATAAGCTTTAATTGTTTTACTGTTGCCTAATAAAAAAAAAATTAAAAATGTACCTTATTAACGAAATATTAGCAATCAACCTGAACGTTATGCTGTATATTTTATGACGTAAAAACAAAACTAATATTTAAAAAAATATTCCACCCGTGAAACGTCTTGGGTTCAGTACTTTGTTAGGAATAACTGTTCCGAAGCCAACATTTGTGTAGGGAGGTGATTAAGCTTAGATCATGCTTAACTACTAAATTTTCTCCCATGATTAATTATTTAATTAAGAGTACTTACTTTATAAAGTCTAGATGTGCCCCAGTGGGAGGGATCTCTCAGCCCCAGGGTCAATCGACCGTCGATCAACAATTATTTGATATCAGTCGGATATGAATCTGGGGCCTTCAATTGAGCAGACCAGTATCTAACTAACTGAGCTACTCCACTCTTCAATAAAATAATATTAATGAATACAAATTAGGAAAACTTGGCGTTAATTTATATGTAATAGTTGCAATCAGACCTAGGCAGTGATGATATGAGGCAGTTCTCTTTAAGAAGTAAAATATGAAATAGATTGTTTATAACTGTATTCTCTTTTTAAAATACATTATCAAAAAAAAAGCTACTTATATTTTATTCCCAATATACTAAAATACAAAAAAGTCTTTTAATTTGTATTTTAAATGAAAAAATAAATTACCGAATAAAGTGGCTTCTTGTATTATAGGCTGATGGTCTTCCACCAGAAGTATTTTGTATTTTTTTTTACTTACATTTTCTAAATACAATTTTAATACTTTTTATCAAACATAATACAATAATACTAACATATAGTTAAATAGTTAAAATACAAGGTATTTGAACAACACAAAATACTTATTGTATTTTAAAATAATCCTTAAATTACTTTTTATGTTTGGTGGCAGTTTTCCTGGTATGCTAAATATACTTGAATCAGGGAGTTACATCCAACGATAAATCCACGATTTCACTGTAATTCCGAAAATTCCACGAGTCTAGTTCAATACATTCGGTTATCAGTATCCTGTATTCCCTCGATACAAATATCGCCGACATGAATAGAGGACAGAGATAATATCTATTCGAAAGGCTCATCTCTTTCAATGAATTTCTAATAATATAACTTCTCTTTCAATTTGTATTTTAACAAAAAGTAATGATTTTTACATGATTCTTACATGCTTGCTTCAGTGGTTTCAACTCTTACCATAAAATATGCTTTCTTTATTTTATACTAAGAGTTATTTTTATACTCATCTTATTACTTATGTTTTAATTATTCTTTACTCTACTATGTCTTTGGATCCGATTTTATTTAATCATATGATCAACATTGTTAATCTAATGGGGTTTTGTCCCTGAAGTTGATTTTTTATTTCTAAAATTTTCGGTTTAAATCAGGGCAATGTGAGTTAAAACTATGACTTACATGTTCTTTTGTTTCGATGTCTAGGCGCAAAACATCTAGGTCATCAGCCACCGGTTAACTAGATAACACTGCTTTTAAACTATTTGGGTGGTATGTACAGAAAATAAGACTTAAACAAACTAATAATAATATAAAATTAATTAATAAATACATATGAAGATAATAATTTTGTATTTATTTATTTAATTATTTATTAAGTTATACATATTCCTGGCTCACAATAAATTTGTCATCTACCTCGGTATTCAGCAAATATGATATCAAGGAGAAGAAATGATAGCATAAGGAAAAAAGAATAGTAATAACAAACAGAAAGACAAATTAAAAAAAAAAACAGTAGTAAACAACAAATAATAACACACACACACACACAAAAAAAAGATAATGCAGCAATAAGATCAATTCAATAAGTCTCTTGGCCATCGCCTCAGCAGTCTTCTGGGCGGATTATATGGATTTGTGGCGGTAGATAGAGCTTGAGTAAGTGGATTGGAATTTAGAATTCAGAGTCAGTCTGTCATGAAAATTATTAAAGCGGTCAGTGGCAGTTGCCGGGAATGAAAGAAGTGTTAAGGTCAGTGTGTAACGTGAGGTTTGAAACATAAAAGGGTGCGTCTACAATTTTCCGAAGGACTTTTGACTGGAATGACTGGATGATTTTTATATTTGATTTCTTTGCTGTTCCCCATAGCTCGATCCTATATGTCCAAAGTGGTTTAATGAGGACTTTGTAAATAGTTAATTTTTTAATCACAGATAATTTAGAACGTCTGTCAAGTAGCCTAGAAAGAAGTCCGTATCGCTGATTAAGTTCCTTCCTTTTTTGTTTTATGTGGTATGTCCATGGCAGTCGTTTGTCCAAGTGAAGATCCAAATATCGAACAGTTTTTGAAGGTGGTAGAGCGATATTATTGAAGAACACTGGAGAACAAGAGTCATGTTTAAATGTAAATGAAACAAATTGGCTGTTAGACTCGTTCATTTTTATTCTCCACCTTTTAGCCCAACAAGCTATGTCGTCTAGGTGTTCTTGAAGTACCTGAGAAGCCTTGTTGCTGTATCCTTGTTAGACGTTAATATTGACAAGTCATCAACAAATGTAGCCAACAGTGTTTCAGAATGTTGTGGGATGTCTGAACAGTAAATATTGAAAGTGTTGGACCCAAGACACTGCCTTGAGGTACTCCAGCTTTTATTTGTTTGATTGCAGAAAACTCAGTCCCCATTTTCACACGGAAAAATCTATCTTTTAGATATGATAGTAAAATTAAGTAGTATGTCGGAGGAATAATTGTTTTTAATTTATGTAACAAACCATTTTTATGAGGTGGAGGTGTATCAGTCTTGTATGTCCGATCCTCAGTCCCGTGAGGACGACTTCTTACTCATCTCCGTACAGATCTCCGTACAGCTAACTAAAAGACAAGAAAGGAATGAACAAAAAAAAATCTAATTAGAATGAAAAGGTCAATATTCATTCTGTGTGTTCTTCTCAAAATAAATTTCTACTCTCCCTAGTTTGATTCGAACCGGCTCTACTATATTCGAGAATATTTGAGCAGGTAACGTTCTTAAACAATCAGCCATCTCAGTCGCAGGCTAATAATATTAACGTATAATATCCATATAAGGAAATCCATTTGAATTGTCACATTAGATATTATATATATGATATAGCCTTATATCATTTACAAATAGTTATATTGTAAATACAAATCATCTTTGTAGAAAGGTGGATCAAACAAAGGAAATCAAGACTGAAGGGATCTAAATCTTTGAGAAAGGTTAATCTTTCCGAGAAGGGAAGGGCCAATCAATGTCTGCCATCAATTCAATCAAGAAAGGTTTTTATAAAGGCCCTCAGAGCGGGCTGGAAGCGCGGCCGTCCTGTTTGATATCTGCCCAATCAAAAGGCTCGTAGGATATTGCCTTAACCCTTTGTCGACCAACCCCTGACCCACGCTCACAATATACCATCCCTTCAGATTAAAAGTAGCCCTCACGTCTCTCGCCGGATTTATTAAATCGACCGAATTATTGTATGGTAGCCACCGCTCCTCCAAAATCACTTTGTACACTCCACAAAGGAAGAATCTAAATCTCAAAGCAGGAATTATTTCAATTCACATATATACATTTAGATACTTTGAAATAACTTAAATAGGTTAGATTGAGGTACTTATCTGATTTAAAAAAAAAATATTTTTATTGAAATTTACAACTGTAAACTTATATACAACCAGTAAATTTGCTATAGGAACATATAACACGAAGGTACTTGTGAAGAAGCTACACATTGGTAACACTTCAAAGATTAATTAATTTAGGAGGTTCCTTGGTCATCTTCTTTTCAGACGCCTCGGAGGGTTGTCAGGAATTGTAATGGATGAAAGGTTACATACTAGAGGATTGGGGTGACCAAATAGTTTGGAATGACATGAATAATATCTATTTCGGGCCAATTTTTCCACAAGAGCAATGTTGAGGTCTTTATTGATAATTTTATTTGTTGCATAATAAGGAGCATTTAGGATTTTACGAAGGATTTTGGATTGTAAGGATTGGATACGGGAAGAATTTGATGTTTTTGTAGAGCCCCAAAGCTCATTACCGTATGTCCAAATAAGCCTGATTATGGTAGTGTAAATGAGTTTTTTGTAGGATATTATATGTTTAGAGCGTTTATCAAGTAAGTGTTGTAGTAGTCTGAATCTGTTGGCAGTTTCTTGTTTTTTTAGGTCTAGTATGAGGAGGTAAGGCGTTTGTCAAGGAGTCGTAGGTAACCGATCTGTTAGACAGGGATCAGTGAAATATTGTTAAAGGATACAGAAGGACAGGATTTTATAGGTTTAGGGCGAAGGGTAAAAGTAATTTGTTAGGATTTGTTTGGATTAATTTTAATTCTCCAGTTTGTACACCATTTTTCAATGGCTGAAATGTGTGATTTCAGGGTTCGTGATGTAATAGTTGGTTCATTATTGACAGACAACACACACGTTTCATCAGCATAGGTAGTGAGGACGGTTGATATCTGAATCTAAATTTTTTTCTGTAAGACTTTTGTGTGTACCGTTAACGAATGATTTTATATGAAATTTAGTATACAAGAAAACAAAAAGGCAATCTCAGTTGGGATAAGGTGTTACTAGCTCTATCGGGAACATAAATAATATTTAAAATATTCAGTCAAATAAGTATGATAATTTTAACGAATTCATGAAACGAAAGGTATAATTTTTAAAAGATATAGATATTTTTAAAGTAATCACTTCAGATTAATCACATTTTTAAGGAGTACATTCAGGTTATACATTATCTCACTTTGCAATTAACAGCTGATGTAG